ATAAAAAGGTACCAACCCAGACCCTCCCACATAGCTATAAGTAGATGAGCTAACCATCTAGTTCTGCTCATAACTTTGCAGATTCATTGAAAGAATCACACTCCAGGAATCTTCCCTGCCTCTTTATAGCATAACAATATATTGTATGCAAAATTTTCAAGACATTAATGCATGCAAACTAGAAAACTTTAACTTGTCCTCCAGAATATCTACATGCTAAATCCTCATACAGCTTAGAACTAACTGCTATTTCAGTAAATTATGTTCCTATCTCTTCCAGACAAAATCATTTCACATTTCTCCAGTGGGGGACTCTCCCATCCACACTCTTCTCTCAGACACCTGACTCGTATTATCTTAAAGTTGGAAAGTTGTGTCCAGCTTGGGGCCTTCTTCTGTTACACTAGAACTTCAGGTATTACCCTCTGTCCTTGTGGGTAACACCTACTCATTTCAACTTCTCACCTTACTCAACTTAAAAAAAAAAAAAAAAAAAGTGTTCTCTGTGCCCATGGACTTATGACCCACTTGCCTAGAACTCTGCCTCCCACGTAGCCACTTCGCATTTATTATTAATTTTGAACTATTAGTAATCACTATGAATTTAGGGATTTTTTGTTTTCTTTAAAGTGTTTCTCCAGTGAATTTATGCTGGAATGAGAAAGGAAGCCATATCTCTTTACACCTCATTAAACCAAATGATTGGCTCTTTACAGTCATTACTAAACATTTTGTTTGCACATAAAAATTGATAGTGACAAATTCAATACAGGCTGTTTTCATTTTTTCTGACTTTTAGTAATCCTTTTGATAAGTGGGCACCATGAGTCTCAGGAAAAGGCTTCTAGGGTTGGATTAGATTTTAGTTAATTTCTCTATTTCCCTTTGATATTAAAGATTTGAAATGATGAGCAATGGCTTCAGTTCCCAAGTAAATTACATCATGTGATGTATCAATTACATTTTCAATGACATATCCTACAATAAGCAGACAAAAAGCCCAGAATGGAAGTACAGGGGATGACCTACATGGTCCATTGACAATGATGCCACCAGACAGAGTCTTGACATTAGAATAGCTGAAAATATATGAGGTGAATTCTTCAACTTGTTCTACAAATTCACTACTCAGATCTTCTTCGCTAATTGTCTCTAGTTTAGAAAGATACTTTCTCTGAGCAGGCCTGTCAAAGACAAAGCACTTCCTCTTTGGGAAGAATGTCCTGATGCAGAGCCGAGGCTTGTTAAAGCTTTCACTTTTCTTATCAGATCCTGCAAAATGAAAATTGGATATAGTAAACTTCAAATGTATTATTTCAATATATGACATTTCCAATTCCATAATATCTACAAAGCCTATGTAAGCTGAAAAACACCTAATATAAAAAATGATAAAAACTTAAATAAATAGGAAAGAAAACACACTTTATGTTAGAAAAAGTAGTTTGAAATTTCACATGGAGTCCAAACAATTCAGCAAAGCTCTGTTTCATATCCCACAATTGTCAGGATAATACAGCTACAAAATTGAGACTATTGTCAACTGTGCCAGAAATGACATTTATGAATAGTTTTCCCTTTGTATCAGAACATTCCACCAAGCACAGGTACCTTTTGTCAGGGTCAACGAATATTCCAGGTACTCATCAGCAGTGATGGGTTTTCCATCAGCTTCCAGCTCCAGGGAGAAATCTCTCAGAGCCCACACAAAAGTTGGAAAGAAACCCACAAAGTTAGCTGAGTCATCTACCCCACTCTGCTCAGGTGATGACTTTGATTTGATTAGATCAGTCAGCTCTGTCACATAGCTGAGATGTTAAATTAAGAAAACTTAAAAAACAAGTTTACTATTTCATGGTAAATATTCTACCACTCCCTCCCCAAATTAATGTCTTGTTTTTGTTTTTATCGGTGTTGGTTTGTTTTTGTCAACTTGACACAACTGGAGATAACATGGGAAGAAAATACCTGAACAGTCAGGCCTACAGATATGTCTGTGGGGACATTTTCCCAATTACTAATTGATGCAAGAAGTCCAAGTCCCCACTGTGTGGTGCCATCCCTAGACTAGTTGTCCCTGGTTGTATAAAAAATGTAGCCCAGTAAGCCACAAGAAGCAACCCAGTAAGCAGAG